AAAGAGTAAAGTTGTTCTAAGAAACACTAGTTGTTTTCTTTTGTTCTATCTTTTAGCTTAGGACTAACTTTATTGTTATCTTAATAAGATACTGCTTAAAATCTTGGTTTTTCTTTAGCTCCGAATTTGGTTTTGGTGATCAGCAGAAAGAGTCCGACAATCCTGTTTTTTGTTTGTTTTTTTTTTGTTTGCTAATAAAAGATATTCATTGTTTAATTTTATATATAATTTGTCTATTTTAAATTTTGGTTTTAACTATTTTTAGCCAGAATGATTTAACTACCCTATTAAAATTTAAGTTAGAGTGTAGTTTTAGGATTTATATATATATATATATAATATAATATGTATTAGATATAAGGTTCTAACTTTAGTTTTTGTGAGATTTTCAAATATTCTGAATATTTTTATTTAGAGTACTCGATCTAGTTTATTTAGTATGTTTTTGAGATATAGCACTCCTAGTAATTTAACTAGGAAACAAGTTAGCAATAATCTTAAATTTTAATTATAACTTCAATTTATAAATATTTATTATTAAATTTATAATATTTCTTTTGAAAAACTTTTATTAGCTATTAAAAATATATTAACAAGTTAGATATTATTAAGATAACATAATCAAAACTAAATTTTATCTATATTTTAAACATATTTAGCAAAAAACATAGGTTTTTGTAAAGTAGGTTTAAACTTAAAAACAAATCTTTTCTAGATAACAAGTTTTTATAAAATTTAATAAAAAAAAAGCAAAATCTTACCTTTAATATTTAAGAAAAAAATAAATAAATTGTTTAAAATATAATTTTTTTTAATAGCTTTTTTAATTTATTGTGCTAAAAACTAATTATACTATTCTAAAGTTGTAAAATAATATTGTATAATTTACTAAGGCCATACAAACTTAATAAATTGGTTCTTATAACCCGGTCGGGTCAAATTTTGCAAAACTTTGAAAAAAATTTTTAACTATATTTATTATCCGGGTAAACTTTTTTAAATGTTTATAAAAAATTTTTATATATTTTTTGTATATAAAATTTCTTGAAAATAAAATTAAAAGCCGGGTTGCCGGGTCATTTTTAAAATTTTATGTTATGAGAACCAAAATTAACTTCGTATAGCCTAATATAATTTATCTTGCTAATTTTTAATAATAAATAAAAATCTTATATTTATTTTTTTTTAACTCCAACTCTATTAATATAACAACTTTTAACTACTATTATTTAATAATATTTTCCATCTTTGCTAATTTCGGCGATAATAAATTTTTAATAACAAATATTTTATAAAAAAAATTTACTATTAATTAGAGTTGAATTTCATTATTAGATTAAATTAAAAGATAATTTATCAATACTAAAGTATACAGTATATCAAGAAAAACATATTGAGTTTGACGTCAATTGAATTTTTTTTTTTTGTATTACACCTAATCCTGAAATTTAATTGGTTAATGGAATTTTCTAAAGCGAGCGGTAATACAGTTATATATAGACCGCCAAACCGTACGCATGCATAAATGTATGCATGCGCGAGAAATTCGGAGTTGTTCACCAAGCTTTGGCGTATGGGTGATCTGAAAGATATTAAATAATGGTAAATATTCATGAATTAAAGTATTTATAAACATAAACTATTTTTAATTTTACCGATTAATCCAAACCAAATCCAAACTAAACCTAGTAACATAATTGTTGGAGAGCATTTGTGTTGTGAAATATGTAATAGTTATAACCTGGGTAGTTGGAAATTTCCTTTCCGTTTATACACATAGTACCTAGGGTATAACTGATTTATACCCTGCGATCTAGATATAGTGACCAGGGTACAAAGCAAAATAATTCCAGGTAATTGATTCGAATTGGTCAATAAGAAGTAACTGGAAGTCATTAGACTTCTATTCCAGTGATTAAAAATCTTTACTAGAACGGTCCAGTGACATTCGAGCACTGGAAGTATTATTCATCCAATTCCATTTAATTAAGTCCAGTTCCAGTAATTCTCACCGGATGTTCCCGTAATTCCCGTAAACAACATTGTGCATGCATGAATACCCATCTCTATGATAAAGATCCGAATGGGGTTCTTTTTGATACGATATTGAGACTAGGAAAATGCATAGCATTATGGGTCCAGAGCGCATCATATGGTGATCATATTATTACACAAATTACAAATTTGGATTTAATTTACCAACTTTTTGTCTGTCCGCCCATGTGACCAAATTACATTTCTGATATGATCTTTATGTTGTTTATGTAGATGCATCAAAAACGTAATTTTTATATCACTTTGCATAGAAACTAAGGGTCCATCGCTACGCTCTGGACAATAAATAAAATGTTATTAGTTAGGCGTCGAATACGTAGAATCAAATGTGCATTATAAAATTAATTACCTTTCAATAATTTTTCTAGTTCATAATTTTTATCTGATGTATTAATGGTAAATGCGTTACCAACAACTTCGAGATACTCAATCGTACCCATCAAGAAATTTTCTACCCGAATATTAGTAAATTACCCAGTAATTTTATTATAGCAAAAAATATAATAACGTTTTCTACTGAATACAACCTCTATCAACTACAACCCTTGTACCATGTATTCAAATACAAGATCCTATCATGGTATTCACCTAGCCGTTTGCGTTCACCTTCTTTCGAGAAGTTACGTTGCCTTTTTCTCATGTCACTTTCTAGTTCTCCCCTAGTTAGTACCAATAAATTAAAATTCATCATGAAAGCTTACAGTTTTTACAAAAATACTTATGTTTTAATCCATGATGTATTTTCAACGTCGTGAAAATTGATGCCAACAGTAAATTTACAGTACTGTAATTCGTCCGTGCTATTATTGCGTAAAGGACTATGCTTGCGAAGCATTTAAGAACCCTAAGTATAAAAACCAATTATATATTGTTATTGATAACAATATAGTTATCCTGAAACGATCTATCACCAAAACCCACATTTGTATATAGAAGTTCTGCCACCAAAAAAGTTCATAATCAGTTTGATGCTTATAATTACCATATGGTGGCTTCATAAAAGCCGTCATTAATTCTTCAGGCAAATCCGAAATGTTTCGTCCAAGGGCGAAATACTTAGACTTCAAAAAGTGTGAATTACCGCAGGTTGATCCGAAATTATTTTCTCCAATGAAATTGTTGGCAAAATATTTCGGATTATATTGATCTTGTCATTTATTTTTGGTGACAGATTCTTATGGTTAGTTTCATTGATTTTTGAATTTCTTCTGTTGCTCTTAACCTAATGTATAATAGAAATTAAAAAAATTAATGACTGTAATCATTAAGTAGTTTTTTTTTCAGGAGTATGGCAAATGCAAGTTCCTAATATGGAAAGCACGTAACCATTCTTTTTCCAGAATCAATAGACCTTATCAGTGAAGTTTCTCTCGGCCATATATCCTGCGGCGCCAGAATCATTACACCTCAACCAAATAAGCTTTGATAAACAGTAACATAGAATGAACCAACAATCACGCATACGGAATATGGTGACCTCACAAAGAAAAGGATATTCAATTCAGTGTGGCGCTGGAACAAACCACGCAGCATTAGATGGCTTTAATGTAAATCAAACTGAAAGCACTTTTCAATATTGTTTCTTAAATGGGATTTTTGCTACCTTTCTAGACTATATAAGTCATAATCTCTAAGAGTTATTTTTGTAAACAAAAATCCCAAATGATAACGCTCTTTCACCGTATCAAAACAAATTGGGTTCAAGCGCCTCGCATAAGAAAACCTAAAGGAAAGGGACTTGCCTACTAGAAAAGATACATACCCTTACTGCAAGTTTGCTTTTCGAAAAAATATTTAATTTAGGGATATTAACGGCCTGGTCTGGTTCAGTCTTGTTTATTATATTCTATGGCCTTAAGAGTTATCGTAAACTTCTGGTTCGTACGTCCCTATGAGTTGTAACTGGGGGTATTCTGCAGATAAAAATTCGTTTATATCCATATTATATCTCGAAGAATAACATCTATATACTTTTGAAGAATATCTAGCTGGTGTAAAATATTGATGGGTAAAGTTGAACGAGAAATGTATAGCTGGTATATCTCTAGTCTTTGTAAATACCGGGATACAAGTCAACAGTTTACGGTAATTAGTAGGTGATTAGACTGCTGGACTGGTCTGGCGAATTTTTTTGTTTTGATTAGCTATTAAATAAAAAATCTTAAAAAGGAAATGGCCACAAATTTTGATTATTCCGGATCAACCCGACTTAAAGTCACGTGTGATTACACAGTAACTAAAAATTTTCGGTACCACGAAATTTTGGCCAATAGAATTAACGGCACATATGTCGATCATTACATAAATTAATACAACTTAAACAAACAGCCGCCAAATAAGGTTCAAGAAAATTTTTTATTTTGATTCAACATGTAGAATTAAAATAAAAAAAAATTTCATCGAATTTGGTTTGTTGGTTGTCGAGATATCTTCGTTTAAAGGTTTAAAAAAAATTCTACTATAACAAATTTTGATTAACGTTTTAAGATATCTTGACGGATGTTCTATAGAATAGGTGGCAAACTCTGTAAATGTCACGTGAATATATTAAAAAATTAATGATTACTAATCATTGGCTAAGCTTATTGCCCACCTATCCTATAGAACATTCTATCTTAGACAACCACCAAACAAAATTTGATTAAAATTGGTTTATATTGATTCTAAATGATTTTCGAATCAAAATGAAGAAAAAAAATTTCATAGAATTTGACTTTTGGTTGTCAATAAATCAAACCATCAAAGCGTAAAATTTTTGAAGATATATCGACAACTATCAAATTTAATTCGACGAAAAGTTTTTTATCTTAATTCTTCATAATCGTTAAACAAAAATAAAAAATTTTATCGAATTTAATTTAATGATTTTCAAGATATCTTCGTTTAAATTTAAAAAACAACAAAGATATTTAATTTATTAATGAACTTTGAACGAAGATATCTCGACAACCAACAAACCAAATTCGATGAAATTTTTTTTTATTTTAATTCTATATGCTTTTTAAGTCAATATAAAAAAAAATTTTTTTATTAAACTTTGTTTTGCGGTTATTGAGATATATATCATTGTTTAAAGTTATAAAAAAAATAGATGAAATTTATGTAGTGATCTACATATGCGCTGATAATTCTATTGGTCAAAATGTCGTGTTACCAAAAATTTTAGTGGTTCTGTTAGGATAGTTTAAGTAAAATATAAAATTTTATAATATACATACACTCTATCCTCGTTATAGTGAACCTCGTTAAAGCGAATCCCACCATAATAAAGTAATTCTATTGACAATTTAAAATTCTCGTTATTATATTGTATAATATAATATTTTTCAGCCAATTCAATATTTGTTTTTAAACTTTAAAACTTATTTTTATATATAAAAAAAAACCATTTATACACTATGTGTATATATGTTGTAAGTGGGAACGGATTTAAGTGGATTTGGAATTTCTTAGAATTTTAGAATTTTATGTTAGGTATAGTATTTATATAAAATAAACTTCACCCTGAAATACTAATTTTAACTAAGAAATTCCAAATTCAGGGATCGTCTAAAGCCAGGTAGTAATTTATATGTGTCATGTGATTTTTAATTTATAAATTTGTTAGTAATCAATTTAAAAAACTACCTAGCTTTAGATGACCTCCAAATTCACTTAAATCCGTTCTCACTTACAATATATACACGGATATTAATTGATTGATTGCATATCTGTACAATAGGTAAATTTATAACAATCCGTTTAATATTAGAATATATTAGAATAGAGGTGGGTTTACACTAAAATTTTGCATAGATTATTTTTTGTTAAAACCATAGAGTAAGTTTCATAAACAGAATTTTGAGTTATGATATGTATCCGTGTTTCATTCACTAGTGTACAAATAGAAATTGCCTAAATTTTAAACTTAAATTTTAATTTTAAAGTACATTTATTTTAATTTTAAATTTATTTACGGTAGTTATTTATGTTGCTTTAATTCTATTTTATTATATATTTTATTAATAATAATAAAATATACTAATAAACCTAATTTAATTTTAAGAGGTTACAATATAAAATTTGGTAATGTTTTAAAATTTTATAAGCCAAATATATTTTTTTGGCTCTACGATACTCTTATGATTATAATACTGTATTTATAGATCTTGTAAAATTTTATATAAAATTATCAATTGTCAAATTTTGCCATTGAGAAACTTAGTAAGCTTTGGGTATTTTTGCACCTTTGTAGTATAGAAATCTAATAATAGATTAAAAAAATAATCATGGCATATAATTTGTAAAAACAACCTAAATTTTGACTTCTAAATCCAAGTGTTTGGATATTAAAATTTAAATCTTAGTTATCAATTATACATTAATCAATAAATATTATACTTTAAAAATTTTTAGATTACCATCTATATCGTCTAACCCATCTTGACATACCTCATTAGACATGTATTCTAATATAGTTTTAGTTTTATAGTCAAAAATCAGTTTTACACATTCCTATTTCATAAATCACTGCATGATTGTATTTTCATTTATTTTTACTGTATATAAAAGTATTTTTATTGATGCATTGATTAATTAATTTCGAGCTAAGTTTAAATCAACATATGAAGTAGAATTCCAATTCTCAAATGAGTTGGTTTGGAATTTTTTAAGATATATTGATTTGGAATTCAAGCCGATTTTATTGTACAATAAGTTTATTACAGAGTGCATTATTTTGAATATTACTTCTTTAAAAGTAGAGCATATTGTTCCAAAATCATGCTCATGGGCGTTATTCTGAAAAAATTCTTTGATCTTTGTTTCAAAATAACGCCCATAGGCTGAAATGACGCACACTTGATATATTTAACTATTATCACATTATTATTATTGAAATTATTATTTTAAAAGAAAATAATCCCCTATTTAATGATAATGCATTGGCGTACTCAAATAGGCGAAATACAGTGTATAGAAATACCAATGTTCATCCAGCTGCGCGTCATTTAAAAGACACTAACGCGTTATATAAACATATATTTTAGTTTTTGCGTGATATCAGCTAATTGACTTGTTGGATAATGATTGTCGTTAATGCAGCTCGCCTTAGATACATATTAAATGTTGTACTAAAAAATTCTGTCCTAAAATAATAATAATAATTGTGTTACGTATACGTTTTATTATCTTGTCATGAGTTGATTAAGTTAGCATAATGCAATTTTTAATCATACTGAATGACATCTCGGAGTAATAACGCTTAGTTGAATCGATTTTTCATGTTTCTGAATAGTTATATTCTATTCTTTTATTACATTCTTCGACTTTATATAATAATATGAGGATAGTTATTCTCGAGTACTTGAGGAAAGATTAACTTGATGTTACCAAAAAATACCACTGGGATACCACATGTTTTCCTCGTATATGATAATTATAGATTTTGACAAGACAATTTAGGTAAAATAAAGTACACTTCTTGATCGACCTAATGTTTAAGAAACCATCTACTAGTAATTACTGAAAATTAAATAGATACAATTATCAGATGAGGATATATGTAGTTAGAATATGAATTTTAAACTTAAAAAGGCCACTTTCCTTTCAGTACTTCCAACGTAAAATAACTTATTAATTAGACATTTTTGTAATATATGTACAATAGAGTATTTTATAAAATTTTCTCGTGTATTATTCAAAAATTAACCCAGATAGGCAGTGAACAATACTCGGATTTTTATTTTTAAGAACATTATATGCAATCACAAACGGTAACGATGCAAGTGAAATGTCGTAACTTACAGTACATACGTACAAGATAAAAATTATGGAAACCCGGTTTCAATATAAAGTATACAGTCGTCCCTCCATACAGTCACCTCCTATATAGTCACAAACCCCATACAATCACACAATATTTGGATATACAGTATATATATCAATTATTTTGTTATTAAAATGCTTTCTATATAATCGCAAGATGCCTATAATCACTATCACATTTTTTTAAAATTTGTTAAATAATTTTAATAATAAAATTACAATCTCTAATCGCTCATAATGATTATCCAAATTATATAATGGTCATGCGGAAATAATAGACGGTAAGTTTTTAACTATAACCCATAGTAGCAGTCACAATAATTCAGTAAAGGTTTTCTTGACGGAAATAATCTCTATTTCAGAGTATATATGTATATTCTATTCTTTATATAATTTACTTCTTTATAATCACACATAGAGATTGTACCCGTCAAGAAAATCTCTACCTGGGTATTATTAAATTATCCGGTTATCCGGGTAATTTATTATAGCCATATATTAAAATGTCTACCCGGGTACAATCTCTATGTGAAATGTATACTTTAACTTCATAGCAGGAAGCAAATAATTCGAGATAATAACAGTTTATAGATAATAATATTTATTAATAACAGGTTTATGGTAATAACTTTGTTTATAGAAATTATTCTAGAGAGAAAATATTGCACTTTACAAATAAAGAAAGGTAAAGAGATAAGACTAGATTCTATAAGAGAGTAGGAAACTTTAACTTAACAAAAATGCAAAAGGCAAATAGAAGTATAATAGTAAAATTGCTATATTATATAGAGATACTTAGAGGCACTTGTATAAAGGTACTCAGAAGCACTCTATACAAAAGCACTTGAAGGCACTTTGTGCAAAAGTACTCAAAGGCACTTTGTGCAGAGATACTCAAAAGCACTTTGCATAAAAGCACTTAGAGATACTTTGTGTAGAGGCAC